CTCTATATCTCTATATCTCTATGTCTCTATGAGCAACCGTGTCATCTTTCTAGCCTTACGGTTAGAGGTCTAAGGGAAAGAACGTAATCGTGTTCGAAGCTGGACTTTTCATGAAGACTAGGAGGGGGGCATGGAGAGAGTGTGGGCTGAAGTATGTACCTGGGATGGCGGCCTTGCTCAGGGAAACAACTTGGCTTGGTTTCCTTCCCTCAAGAAGTAAGGAAAAATCAGACCCTTGATATAAGACGCGATGTTCTTTGTTGTTACTACGTTGATGATGGAAATGTTACGGGGATATATCGATAATTTAGTGGAAATGGCAGGGTGTAAGATGTCGCGTAGATGATGGGTGATGATGATATGCTATTGTTGGGAAGCAGTTATGGTGGTGGGCGAGGATTGCAATGATAAAAGGCTGTCATATGTGCTCTGTCCTTATTGACCAGGTACTGATAATATCCGCAGTATTTGGCAAACTGCAGAATCTGTAAAGGAGTCTGCACCTGCAGCAAAATAACTATAGTCCACAGATACTTGATTAAGTGCCACACAAGACCCCGTATAATTGTAGATCAAGTATTTTACCGACCATGTCGTTGGTTGCTGTTGAGCGGAACCTCAGAATAAAGGAGCCTCTAAACCCCAAAGCAAATTCTCCCAATCCATTCCCTCCAAGTCCATATTCAATCCCATGTCGCTCAAGTCTTGGACAGATGCTATGGCATCATTTGGTGTCGTGCCATTCGACAACATGGCAGTTGACGAGCTTGGTGTAAGTGGAAGATTTTCACATCCCGCCGATCTCTGCCTCTCCTTGCCCACTGGCAGCGTCACTTTATGCTTCTTCATCACCTGTGTCAATAGATCTTGTATGCGAGCCGTGGGTCTGGAGAGTTCTTTGGCCGCCTCCAAGATGTCCCATGCTTCCAATAAGTCTTCTCGTCTTTGTTCTTTCTCGTCGGCATCGGCGCCTAGGCAGAAGTCCAAAATAAGAACAATGCTGGCGATGAATACACTATGCAAGACTAAACACAACCTGAGCCGTGTCGAGTTAAAAGTTGTAGCTTCGTTCTCGAGCTGGTGTTCTGTTTGTATGACCATGCGTGCTGAATCAAGACACACGCGCCGGGAGCGAGCATACGTAGGCTCGACTGCTCCACGGGCTAGATATGGGAGATGAAGTTTGCATCTTTGGCCATGGACAAAGACATTCATGATATGTCGCTGAATGATCAGCCCTGGTTTTTTATGCGCTTCTGCAGCAGGGAGCTGCTGTAGGTCACCTGTACTAAACTTGAGGAATGGGGGCAGGTCTTGAATGAATTGCTCGATGGCCGCATCAACTTCCAAAACCAGGTCGTATGAGTGGACATCTGGATTTGAAGAATTTGTGAGAGGTACTCGGTCAGTGAAGTTGCGGACGACCTCAGCGAGTCGTACCCTCTGTAAGAAATAAGACATGTTGGTGGAACAATTCATTGGCTTTCCCACCAACTCTTGTCCTTCTACAAGATCTTCATCGTCGGCATTCAGAGGTTTTCTGACATTCATTTGCCTTGGATTGATCAGGTAGGTGCCTTCATGCGGGCCTGGAAATCGAGATATCATGCTGTAAACCATTAGATCAAACGCTGTTGAGTTCTGGACATGGAGGTCTTACGCATCTGTACCAATGAGGTACCACCAAACTCGCCGAGCAGTCTCCATTTTGAGAGGACTGAGCTGGGGTATTTGCACCGAGGGCGGGTTGTGAGGGTGATCCAGACGGTGCAGTCCGAGCTCACGGCAAATGGTGATGGAATTGAAGAAACAGTTTCGAGCTCGGGAGGAAACCCCTTCCAAGTTCAACAGGACGAAGCTCACGATGATGAGACCCTGGGCCAACTCGAGACCTATCTCCGACCTCCGCTGCGATGCATCGAATACATCAAAGGTTGATTTGAGCCATCCGAATGATTGGTTGTTTGCCTCTGTATAATCAGAGAAGAGAGGCGTCATGTTGTTGTCTACTGCTGTCCATGCGTATGTGACGTTGGTGCAGACGGCAAGCATCAGGAGAACTGAGCACAGCGAAACTTGTGTCCCCTTTTCAACGGCATCGTAGACCTCATCGACGAGTTTATACAGGCTTGGAATGTGCACAACATGATGCATAAAAGTGATGACCGAGGTGTACTTGTGAACCAAAACCTTGGTTTCATGTCGTTGAGGCAACCAGATGCACCTTGTTGGTTCTAAAGCGAGGAAGCCTGAGGGGACACTTGAGTTTTGAAAGATGTAACATGACGGCTGTGCAATTGAGCGTATAGGACATATGCGGAAAACAATATTGTCCACCAATACGGATTCCTAAATAGGTAACTTGTGTGAGCCGACTTGTTGAGTGGTGCCAAGAGTTTTGGACTTACTGATGGCTTTGGGCCAAGGCATGAACTCTCGAGCCAAAGAGCATCAGCCGTCAAGTTCTGGACATTGATTGGCAACGGTTGCAGAGGCTCCAGCTGTGTCTGGGAAGCAACATCACTGCCTTCTACACTCGAAGGGGCTGATGATATTGTTCGAGAGTTGGAGTTGGAGTTAGAGTTAGAGTCAGTCCCTTTGTTTCGTTCTGCGAGAAGAGCTTCCAGCCTCTCCAATCGTGAGAGGATGTCCGCCTCCTTGCCCGCAGAAGATGGTCCTCCACCACCACTGCCTCCGCCTCCGCTTCCGCTTCCGCTTACACCTCCGCCTGCACGTTTAGATACCGGCCGTGAAGACGGACCCGGTGCCCGGGGTGGGTCTTGAGCCTGGCATTGAACTCCGCGGCTTGTGCAATTGGAACACGGGAATTCTCTACTGCAGCGCAACTTGCGCACACGGCAGAAGTTGCAAGACACAGGACGCTGACGAGGCTGACGACCCATTGCTTCAGTTACACTGATACGGTGGTTTTTTTCTTGGCTTTGTTGTGAAGAATGAATAGGCAGTGATTAAGACTGGGCGAAAGTACCATTCCCCATGGAAACTCCGCGGAACATCCATGGCCCCGACTCCGATACGGGACAACTTATAACATTAACTTCCTTACGCATTTGGGGTTGCTTATCCCTCCTACTTGTTCGATTTGGCTGAAACTATTGGTTCAGTATGATAAATACTTTTGGATGAATAGCGAGGGTTGACTATTACCAATCCATACCATTGTCGAGATTGGCTTGGATCATCTACACCCACTTCCCAATGACTCCCGGCCTCCAGATTGGTAGACCGGCCTCGATGTTAGGACACGGACATAAGCAGTTTACCGTTGAGGCTCCCGGTCAAATGTCCCTTCGTTTGTAGTATGCATTAGTGCCTCTAGGGAAGCTTTAGAGCTGATGGGGATCGAGCATATAATAACAAGCTCCTACCCTACCATTCCAAACTCCTTTTAGGCCCTCAGCCTTACACGAGCATCTTCTTGCCTCATGCTGTCCGTCAGAACTCAGACTATCGGATGAGCAGAACTCACTCATAAGTGTCGAATTACTCCCTCGAGTACATACAAGACAGCATGAAACACGTCGAAGTTGATGACCAGCTGGTCAGTGCTGCCACGCCAGCGCCAATACTCGAAGAGGATCTCAAGAAGAGCGAAAGAGATCTTGAAGAGGGATCAACATCAGTCGAATTCGATGATCCTCCTTCCGATGACCCCAATGTTGTTAATTGGGACGGCCCTGACGACCCAGCCAACCCTCAGAACTGGTCAACGAAGAAGAAGACAATCAATGTAATGCTCGTCTCATCGGTTACATTCGTCACGTACGAACAGTTCATTTCCCTTTCATAAAGCTCATTGACCTAACACTTCCAGGCCACTTGCGTCTTCCATCTTTGCCCCAAGTATCGATCAAGTCATGAGGGAGTTCCACTCGACAAACGAGCAACTGGCATCGTTCATCGTCTCAGTATATCTTCTCGGTTACTGCTTCGGTCCCCTAGTCATCGCGCCTTTGTCCGAAATGTACGGCCGACTCCCGCTATACCACATCTGCAATGTTCTCTTCGTCGCCTTCACTGTGGCCTGCGCCAAGGCCCCTAACCTGGGGGGCCTTATTGCATTCCGACTCCTTGCTGGCCTTGCTGGATCATGCCCACTGACAATCGGAGCCGGCTCGTTAGCTGATATGATATCCAAGGAGAAGCGTGGAGCTGCCATGTCTTCGTGGGCTCTGGGACCCCTTTTTGGACCAGTAATTGGACCGATTGGTAAGTGAAACTTTCGATTGAGTGGTGCCCAAAGCTGACAACTCCAGCTGGTGGATATCTTTCGGCAGCGAAGGGCTGGCGGTGGTCTTTTTGGGTTGTTGCTATTGTTGTAAGTAAAACCTCATATCTATACTTGAATTCCGAGTATTGAACCAAAGGCTAACACTGGTTATCAATAGGCTGGTGCGATCACAATTGTTGCTTTCATTTTTATGAGGGAAACGTATGCGTACGCTCTTCTTGAAAAGAAGGCCAAGAAGCTGCGCAAAGACACAGGGAACAATAAGCTTCGGTCAATCCTTGACAATGGTACGACCACGAAGGAAGTCTTCCGTCTGGCTATCACGAGACCTACCAAGATGCTTCTCTTCGCGCCGATCGTGTCGCTTCTATCATTTTATATGGCTCTGGTGTACGGGTATCTATACCTCCTCTTCACAGCCATGCCAACACTCTTTGAGGGAGAATATCATTTCTCCAGCGGATCAGTTGGTCTGTCGTATATTGGTCTCGGAGTTGGCTCTCTGACAGGCCTTGTCATTTCTGGAGCATCAATAGATCGCTTCGCTCAGTATCTCACTCGCAAGAATGGTGGAGAGCCCAAACCAGAGTATCGACTTCCGTTCATGGGAGGAGCCTGCTTTATCGTTCCGGCTGGATTGTTTATGTTTGGGTGGTCTGCTGAGAATAAGGACCATTGGATTGTGCCCATCATTGGTACTTCATTCTTGGGATGTGGCATGATCATCGTATTTGTAAGTGCTCTGCCTCTACATGCTGCAACCCATTTTCAGTTTGCTGACTCTTGATCAGATGTGCATCTCAGTCTACCTGGTCGATGCCTACGTTCAGTATGCTGCGTCTGCAATTGCTGCAAGTACTGTACTCCGTTCGCTGGTCGGAGCATTGTTACCTCTTGCAGGAAGAAGTATGTACAAGAGCCTAGGTTATGGATGGGGAACCTCATTGCTGGGCTTCATTGCAGCTGCAGCAATCCCATTGCCGTTTATCTTTTACAAGTACGGCGAAAGGATTCGAAGAAAGAACTTGTTTGATGTCAAGTTCTAGATGAATAGACAATGTGCATAGTTATGTTGTGATTGTAAGATCTTGAGGGAACGCATTGATAAACGAGCAAAAGTCGCATTAGGATCCGAGGCGGGCATATAGGAACATCTCCATTCCAGTATAGATAGAGAAGGAAGCACACTTGCAGTCAACAGCAATAGGTGATGGTTAATAAGAACAGGAGTAACAAGTCCAGAAGTGCTCATCGATCGGCCTAGTGATACAGAGAGTCTTGCGAGATTCTGGCATGTTCACGTCTCCAGAGCCCGTTGCGGGTATCAACCTCCGAGCCTTGCCGGAATCAGCTGAGCACACTTGGTGTTTACTGTTGATCCTTGTTCTTTGACTGGTGAAGTCACCATACCCATCGTGACTGATATTGCATGAGAGATTGAATGTAACTCTCGGATGCAGGAAAGATATGAGAGGCAACCTTGGATAAATCTGAAACTGTTTCGTCTCGACAAGTGTCATATGTACTTACGTAGATACTTATCAATATCGAGTCCAATTAATTCATGACATCTGATCCATGCCGTTGGGTTCAGTGTCTTGTAAGCTTTGGCCAATCATGGGCAAGGCGATTTCATCAAGTTCGTGCAAAACCGGCAACAAGGAAAAGAGTAGATCACGTGATCAAGAGATGCACCAATCCAAGCCCGAGGCAAGAGGGACCCATCGTATGATTGCTCCCGTCTTGCTAATTCTGACATTCCCCGAATAACTCGCCTTCTTCTCCACGAAACCTCTCTCGAACTCGCACTCGCACTCCACGCTCTCGAGCGCACCAATTGAGCTTCTCTCCCGCTCGTCTCGTCATCGCCGACTACCTCACATAAACCGTTCACGATGCTGCGCACATCAGCCTCCAACCTGCTGCGCAAGAGCCTGGTGCGCAGCACTCCCGCCCTGGCCTCCCGAGCTGCCTCGACTCAAGCCATCTCTAACCCGACCCTCGCCAACATCGAGAAGCGATGGGAGGGCATGCCTCTCCAAGAGCAGGCCGAGCTCTGGATGGCTCTGCGTGATCGCATGCAGTCCAACTGGACCGAGCTGACCCTCCAGGAGAAGAAAGCTGGTGCGTCACAAACTCTCCTCTACTGCGAAAATACCTCCATCCCGCCCGTGTAGCCGAGATATTGGTTCACAACCACCACATCACATTGCAACATATGCTTCAGCCTTGCCGGTCATTGATGATTCACTCGGCAACACCTCAATTGCACAGCTTCAGCCTTGCATTGGACCCTCCACGAGCCTCAATTGCATCATGTAGAACCCAAGCACCCAATTCGTCTTTCTGATTGGTAGACGGGGCCTCGATATAGCTTCGCCCGTTACATCAACGGCCCATTCCCTGCATCACCATGTATAACTGCGTCACAGCCATAAAACTAACTCAAACTCTCTCAACAGCTTACTGGATTGCCTTCGGTCCTCACGGTCCCCGCGCTGTCGACCCCCCTGGAACCGGTGCCCGCGTCGCCTGGGGTGTCTTCATTGGTCTCGCCGCCAGTGTCGCTCTCTTCGGTGCTGTCCGTGTTGTCGCCAAGCCCGCTCCCTACACCATGACCCAGGAGTACCAGGAGGAGACCAACGAGTTCCTCAAGGTATGTTCCATCTTGTCTACATCGCCTCTGGTCACCCGGCTAACGAGAACTTTTAGAACCAAAAATCCGATCCTTTCACCGGTATCACTTCTCCTGGTTATGCTGGCAAGGGTATGGTCCAGTCTCCCCCCAAGGGTAACTAAATTCAATACACAACATCGTTTCCTTTGTGATAGAAGCTGGAGTGACTCTACGGAGACGTATTGATGTGTAAAGGGCCTCTGGTGCGCATGGACATGACCAGAGGTTTCGAGGTCGCTCCAGAGATATCAAGTCCTCTTGATGTAAATACTGTACTACAACAACGAAACCCGAGTCGAGTCATCTGTTTGATTGAATTTGTTCGCTTGCCTATCTCTGTGGGGGCATAACTCGAAGCTTTGCCTGGCCATTCTGTCTACATTAATTAATTCCAGTTGATCAAAATAGTAATTGCTCCAATGCGCCTCCTAGGGGAGGAAAGAAAACTTGAGACCTTAATCCTAACTAATAAAAAGATTTAGGTAAGTTAATATAAGTTTATGATAAGTTTAGGTTAGGTTTAGGATAAGTTTAGGATAAATTTAGTGTAGACTTAGCATACCTTTTGCTAAGTTTATAATAACACCTTAGGTCTATACCAAGGCCCGGTGTTTTCTTGCTCCTTGAGGGCCTCGTTTCCAATAATAGTGAACTTAGCCACCGCTCTGTCCTGCTTCTCGATACTTTTCGAATGTGTTCTCGGGTTCCCTTTTGGCTGGGTTCATCTCTTCTGCCTGCACTCTTCTGTCCACCTCAAACCGGCCGTCCTTGCCCCAGTATCCTGCCTTCTCCGTTCCCTTTACGCACGCCTCGGTGATGAGTACATAAGGCATTGGAGCATCAAACATGGGCTCTGCTAGGACACGCTCCATCTCCATTTTGAGACCTCGGGCACCTGTTTCTGAAGCAGCAGCTCGCTCCGCGATAGCATATAATGATTTCTCTGTGAAGAACAAGCGCGAAGGGTACGTCTCGAAAAGAGCGGTATACTGAGCAACAAGGCTGTTTTTGGGTTCAGTCAGAATACGTAAAAGATCTTCTTTAGAAAGCGGGCTAAGAGCACAGATATTGTGCAGACGCCCTATCAACTCGGGAATGAAACCGAAGCTTTGTAGATCAGCAGGAGTGGTAAGATCTAACGGCGTGAACGATGAAGCTGATTGAGGGTTGTGGTGAGGCAAATGCGTATATGTTTCTGCCGGCAGAGTTTGCTTGTTGCCAGACATAGAGGAGCGCCCTCTAAGTTCTCCGCCGAACCCCATCGTCGGTCTTGCAACCCTCTTCAGGACCGCCTTGTCTAGCCCGACAAAGGCGCCGCAGAACACAAAGAGGATGTTAGTAGTGTCAATAGTATACTGGTCAACCTTGCCACCTGGAGGAGCCGCCTGAGGAGTCGAGGAAGATGGCCCAGATGCGCTATAGTTCGTCGTGATAGGTGGCGTAGGTCGGGATGAGCGGTTGTCCTTGACATTGATGGTGACTTTTGTTCCTTCAACGAGCTTCAGCAGCGCCTGCTGAACACCCTCTCCCCCAACATTCCGACCAGTAGTCGTTTCGCGTCTTGCAATCTTGTCGAATTCATCTAGAACCACAATACCGTGCTCCGTTGCCTTGATGTCATAGTTGGCCTCGATAAGGAGCCGCTCAATGCAGGTCTCAACGTCCTGTCCTATGTATCCAGCCTGAGTGAAGGAGTTGCAGTCACAGATAGAGAAGGGTACGTTTATCTTTTTGCTCAGCGTTCTAACTTCTGTCAGTATGGTAGTTTTAACGGTTGATAGAAGAAGACAGACTCTAGTATGTAAGTCTTGCCAACACCCGTGGGACCGACCAGAAGGAGGTTACTCTTGTCGATCTTGACATGGTCGGGGACTGTTATATCCTCTGCAACGTAGAGATGGTCCATTGGGTCGTCATCGAATTCGTGATTATCGTGAAGTGCACGGACTGACTCATTATGGCCCGGGAACTCATCTTTGAGAGTATCAGCAGCGTAGCGCTCGGGGATAGAACCTTGTACACGCTGACCTTCGACAGGGTGCATCTCACGACGTTTCTGATGCAGTTCTCTGTCTCTTGCAAACCTCTGGCGCATTACCTTATCCCGCCTGTTCCGGTCTTCGTGCTCATGTTGGTGTCTTCGCCGTAGATTCTGGTAGTGGTTGAAGATGGTTGCGCATATTGTCTTCTTAGCCCGGTCCTGGCCAACGACGTAGTCGTCCACTCTTTTCTTGAGATCGCGTGGGTAGAACTGCGGTACGCCGAAGTTGGTCTTGTTGAACATGGGGCCACGCCCTGCATCGACTGATGGATCATAGCTGCTGCTGAAGCCTGAATTGAAGTCGTTGTTGCGTCGTGAAGCTATGGAGGAGCCTGAGATACGGCGGTACTGTTGTCGTAATCGAGTATTGTAAGAGGATAGGCAACGTGTCGTAGTAGGTACCGGCCGTGTGGCACAGCGTGAGAGATGGCAAAGACAGCAACGAGCGGCAGGGAGTGCCCTTACGAAGGGCGACATCACGATATATATTCAGTTTGCATAATATTGAAGGATGGTACAGAGCGGAGGATCAGGCGACAGTCGACTGAGTTGTAGTATATCTGGGCCGACGATGACGGGATGCGGGGACCGGTTACAGCTTAATGCGGTCGTGCGAGAGCAAGGCCGATGATAGAGCCTATCGATTCGATAGCATGGAAATAAAGAGTCACAGCGAGATTGGTTATAGGACTGGTGTAGGGAGGCGATGCTTCTATGATTGAACCTTAGTTACGGAATTGAGGATTACGTGATTTGCGCTTTGTGTAGGTGACCTCCAGCTCCGGACGGGGTCCTTCCGCCAACAGCGTCCGCTATCGGGGGGGTCGGGTGGCTACCTAAGGTAGGCTGCTAGGCTGCTGGGCACCTTTGAGCCCAGGCCAACCGTCAAGGCATTGCGCGCAGGAGCTGATAGCGAGTTGCAGCCACTGACAGGCCCAGACTGCAGCGGCGTCCCCGCTAAACAAGCCGGGCCGACATGGGGGATCTGATACTAGCCCCCGGCCTCCCCAATCACCCCAAGCACCTAGGCACCCCAAAGCGCAGACTAGGTTGGTAGTTACGTACCTAACTATTTGCTCCATGAATTTGATGGGACCCATCCGAACTGCACAATGATTCTCGCGCAACATCAGAAGAGTCTTTTACAGGAAGTGGCGATATTGCGAGGCTCTCGGTTGGGTCCAATGCCACCCTCTCAACCACATGTTGAGCGTTGCAGGCACATAGACTGAAAATGCCTTCCGTTTAAGGGACAGCGTACAGATACGTACCGTAGCCGTTGAGAGAAATTCACCGTTCGCGACGTCATCCCAACTTATCGATAAAGCTCTAAGTGGGTGGGCAACCCGAACTGAAACTGAAAGGTTGGTTACCTTACCTTAGGCGAATGAGCTAGATAGGAGGTTGCAAGGTCTCTGATATTGCAGTTCGACTTCTGTTGCCACAATTTTCTGATTCTTCATCTTAGTTTTCAAGCCTCTTTTCATCTGGGAAGTTGCTTTAAGATCCTTTGTGCTTCTGTGTCGTTTCTTCATCTCCCTCAATTGTGTCTCACTTGAAGCTCAACAATTGTCTGAAGCTTGCAACACCAAATATCCCGACTACCCCGCCCACCACCTTGAGACCTACCTCCCTTCTACAACCGTGTCGTATTTTCAATTCATCTTCGAAAAATGGCCGCAATTGCTGAAAACTCGTCCAATTCCTTGGACCCCAATCACTCTGGCGGTGCTGCGGGTGACATTCCCAACGACGGTACAGGTAAGTCTACGCATGGCCTGACATGTGATGATCTGATATCCAAGAACACCACGCTCACAATGTACTCTAGGTGTTGTGAAGCTCGATCCTTGGCTGGAGCCCTTCAGCGAAGCCCTCAGAAGGCGCTTTTCTAAAACTCAAGATTGGATCAAGACCATCAACGACACCGAAGGTGGCCTTGAGAAGTTCAGCAGGGTAGGCTTCCAGCTTCCCATACGGCGAGTCGCGTTACTGATGCTTGTTGTCTATAGGGCGCTGAGAAATTTGGCTTCAACGTCGATGCTAATAACAACATTGTCTACCGTGAATGGGCGCCTAATGCCACTGCGGCGTTCCTCGTCGGCGACTTTAGTACGTCTCCCAACTCAATCGTGTACACAATGTGCTTACACCATTTGCCCTAGATAACTGGGACCGCAATGCTCATCCCATGACCAAGAACGATTTCGGCGTCTTCGAAATCACAATTCCTGCCCAAGATGGACAGCCTGCCATTCCTCATCTTTCCAAAGTCAAGGTATGTTAAAATCCAGACACAATTATAAGACATCGCATCTGATATGTCTCGCTAGATCTCGCTCAACTTGCCCAATGGCGAGCATGTCGATCGACTTCCGGCTTGGATCAAGTACGTGACACAGGATTTGTCTGTGTCTCCCGCATACGATGCTCACTTCTGGAACCCTCCAGCCTCCGAGACATACAAGTTCAAAAATGCTCGGCCCAAGAAGCCTGCAAGTGTTCGTGTGTATGAGGCGCATGTCGGAATCTCCAGCCCTGACCAGCGGGTTGCGACTTACAAGGAGTTTACAAAGAACATGCTTCCACGAATTAAGAACCTAGGTTACAATGTGATTCAACTGATGGCTGTGATGGAACATGCGTACTATGCCAGCTTTGGCTATCAAATCAACAACTTCTTCGCTGCTAGCAGCCGATACGGTACTCCCGAGGACCTCAAGGAGCTCATTGATACCGCTCACGGCCTCGGAATTACCATGCTACTCGATGTTGTTCACAGCCACGCGTCCAAGAACGTGCTCGATGGCATCAACGAGTTTGATGGCACCGATCACCATTACTTCCATGGTGGCGGCAAGGGCCGACACGATCAATGGGACAGCCGGCTTTTCAACTACGGTCACCACGAGGTGATGCGGTTCTTGCTGAGCAACTTACGTTTTTGGATGGACGAATACCAGTTCGACGGTTTCCGATTTGACGGAGTTACCAGCATGCTATATGTTCATCATGGAATGGGCACGTAAGTGACACTATCACAGTCTTATTGGTCTATTGCGCTAATATCAACAGGGGCTTTTCTGGTGGTTATCATGAGTACTTCGGCGCAGATGTTGATGAGGAGGCTGTTGTCTATATGATGCTTGCAAATGAAATGCTGCATGAACTCTACCCAGAGGTCATTACCATTGCTGAGGATGTGTCTGGTATGCCGGCACTTTGCCTGCCACTTTCTCTTGGTGGCGTTGGATTCGACTACCGCCTTGCCATGGCCATTCCTGACATGTGGATCAAGATTTTGAAGGAACTCCAGGATGATGAATGGGACATTGGCAACATCTGCCATACGCTTACCAACCGTCGACATGGCGAGAAGACTATCGCCTATGCTGAAAGCCACGACCAGGCGTAAGTTGATGCTCCTTTGACTCGTTTCACTTTCGGCCACTAACATGCACACAGGCTTGTTGGTGACAAAACTCTCATGATGCATCTATGTGACGCTGAAATGTACACCAACATGTCTACTCTGTCGCCACTGACTCCTGTCATTGATCGCGGTATGGCGCTCCACAAGATGATTCGACTTGTGACACATGGCCTAGGAGGAGAGGGATATCTGAACTTTGAGGGTAACGAGTTTGGTCACCCTGAGTGGCTCGACTTCCCGCGTGAGGGCAACAACAACTCATTCTGGTATGCTCGACGACAGCTCAACCTCACGGATGATCCCTTGCTCCGATACAAGTTCCTTGATCACTTTGACCGGTTGATGAACCAGGCTGAGGCCAAATATGGTTGGCTCCATGCGCCGCAGGCGTATATCTCATTGAAACATGAAGGTGACAAAGTTATTGTGTTTGAGCGCGGCGGTCTGGTCTTTATCTTTAACTTCCACCCAACCAACAGCTTCAGCGACTACCGTATCGGAATTGAAGTCGCAGGAACTTACCGTGTCGTTCTCAACACAGATAGCAAGGATGTTGGTGGTCACAACCGGGTTGATGAGAACACCCGATTCTTCACTACCCCTATGGAATGGAACAACAGGAAGAACTGGACTCATATCTATATTCCCTGCCGAACTGCTTTGGTAAGTAAACACGGTTTTCAAATGACTGTTTGCGTTTCTTAACATGATACTGCAGGTCCTGGCTCTTGAGTCAACAATTTCTCAGCAGTCCTGAGTAATAAAACTAAGAAGAGATGGAAACGGGTGCCGTTGTGAAGCTGCAAGAAGTATGTGATGAGAGTGATTCCTTCATTGGGCGGGGACTGTCACAAAGTGCGCCGTTATCGGTTGAGACCGTTGATGTGTCCCTAGTTTGTTTTGTTTTGCAGATATATTATAAAATCTGAAATAATAAAAGTTAACAGTCAAGAACAACAACTTCAATGTCCCGGTGACTCTCTTTACCAGTCGCAAGGCATTGATTATTGATCTTACAGCAAATAAACCCAGAGATGCTGTTGAACCATTCATTTTAAAACTCAATTCTATGTTTTGCAACTCAAAATCAGGACTCATCAGTGGGGAATAAGACTTCTAACGTTGAATTGGGGTCCCAGATTCAACTGGCCTAAAGTTCTATTAGAAGATACTCAACTTCCCTCAATATTTTCATCACTGAGGATAAAGGTCTTTGTTACCCCCTAAGTTGGCACTATCATTAGGTAGGTAGCACAGGGGCATTTACTACCTTCCAGTCAATTACATCTCACAAGAGCCATTCATAACAGTCTTGGCGGTGGTCAGACGCTTGCTTCTCCACGAATATCTCCAGTAGCAGGGAAATCTCCTCGGGAGATACCTTTCAGAATAGTCTTGGTAGCAATACGGCGGTTCTTCTCCTTTCCGATATCCTCTAAAGTGCCGGATTAATTAGCGAGGCTTGAAGTACTAACCGAGCCATCCTCATCATCCTCATCATCCTCATCATCCTCATCTTCGACGGTCGGATGGGCGTGTTGATAGGTAAGAAGAGCGAAACTTGCATTGTAGCGGGAGGACTAATAAAGGCAATGCAAATTAGGTAGTAAAACGAAGTGCAGAACAGAAGGTATCTTTGACACACATCGGCTGGCACTAGGTAGTCACCCCTACCACACCGCACGTAGCGGTTCTTGTCTGGGTCAATTCGCCGTTATGTACTCTTACCAGCGGTAGGACTGTTCAAGCACAGGAGGCAAGGAGGAATGCGCTCTTCAGGCTCCGGGTCACTACTAGGTAGGCAAGGTACCTGGGGGAGGAAACAAAACTTGGGACCTCGATGCTAAGTGATAAAAAGACTGAGGTAACGATGTAGACCTAAGTTTAGGATTAGTTTCGGATAGGTAGGTTTAGGATACCCTTTGCTGAGTTTAGGTATTTTGACATTATATATCAAGGTCCGATGCTTTCCTCCTCCCCGAGGACTGGGTAAGTTGAGATTAGCAGTACGAAACAATAAAACAAAAGGCGAGCTCACTCGTCGTCCTTGGACTTGGACTTGCTCTTCTTCCCCTTGCCGCCAGTTATCTTCTTTGGCGTTGCAGGGCTAGCAATTCGCCTTTTTATTGGCGACGGTCCTACATAATAGAGTCAGTGTATTGTCATTTCGAGCGGCGAAAATAACATACTTTGCCATCCCAAACACTGGGAGACTCTTAGGAT